CTGCTACAAGGTTAGCCTCATTCTAACAAACTACTGACCTGCTGCTACAAGGTTAGCCTCATTCTAACAAACTACTGACCTGCTGCTACAAGGTTAGCCTCATTCTAACAAACTACTGACCTGCTGCTACAAGGTCATTCTCTGGTTCTTTACACAGAAAAGTTGAGCTGTGTCTCTGTGACTGAGCAGAAAATAGAAGKAGAAAAGTGGTTTAATGAGCTCTTGTCTATAACCAGTTGTCATATATCTATTTGTTTTTCTGGTTTTTTATTACAGAAACCTTAGGGGGCTTTTTTATGTTTTCATACCTGTTGGCAGTTTGATTTTCTGAGTCACTCTTCAAAGATCTGTAAGGATTCAGATGCTGCTCGCTCATCAGTTCTTTGGATCCCAGGGCATTTTGGAACATGTGAAGCTGAGCTCTGMAGCATGAGGGAGGGTTGGGACTCAATTATACACTTATTGCAACACATCTGTCAAACAAATGATTTTAGCTTTCAGCAGCTGTGTTTCAAAAGATTATAAAAGGAATTTATAATTTAATCTTTCTGATGTTTAATATGTCCATCTGCTTACTGAGGATCCATATAAATGTGCTTTCATCTGTGATGTTTGAGATGTTTTGATTTCTGATGATGGTTGAAGTGTAACAGAATAATGTGTCAGGACTTCTCTCGTTTTGTCTAAATGATATAAATGAGTTTTTATATTTTTGAATACAGCATTATGAAGCAACATTTTCATCAGCAGAGACATTCCTCATCAGAAATGAGTAGAAACACTTTGGTCCACTGAGGAGTCAGGGTGACCAAGTCCCCAACCATCAGCTCTCCACTGCCGTGCCACCAGCTGGCAGGAGTTAGATTAGCTGCTGGGTTTGACCTGGAACTGAGCAAGAAAGCAGCCAAAATCCAAAGCACTTTATTTTTTTTCTTTAAGAAACTTAAGAAACTAACATTCAGTTTTGTTTTCTACTGAAGTGGCAAAGAAAAGAAAAACTAAAGCGCTTTAAAATCCTGAAGACTCGTTGCCTAAGACCATTTCAGCCGATGGCAAGAAAGTCCTGTTCTTTAGAGACGAGGTGTGGCTCAAGACATTTGCACAGTTCTGTTCTGCTACCTGTGCATCCTCCCATAAGAGGAGTTCATGGTACCAACAGGTTGGTTCTGTTCTCAGAGGTTTGTTTTCTGCAGTATGTGGACAAACTGCAGAAACACGAGCAGAACATGTAACCTGCTTTAAACTCGGTCCTGCTGATGCTGAAGTTATAAAAGCTGACTCGTCATATTTCACCCACTTTCTGTTGGTTCTGAAGCCTGATGGATCCAAGATGCTGCAGTTTATTTCAGGTCATGTTGAGGCAGGCCTGCAGTCTGAGTCAGAACCTGAGAAGGTGGAGTTGAAATAATCTCACCTGCTTCCCCTCAGGCTAGAAAGGAAAGTTTTCAGCTGGTTAGACAAGATTTGTCTGATTTGCTTCATTTGCTGCCATGAACCTGCAGTAGTTAGCTGGTTTAAACTTGTGATCTGGTCACTTCCTCCATGAATCAGTAGTTCAGGTCCTCATCATGGGTAAGTTGTGTCTTTAACTTGGTGATAAATTTGACTCTTGTTTGTCTCGATGCACAGAGCAGATGTAGGTTTTTTGAATGTTTCAGTTTAAAGATTAAAGAACCAACTTTACAGCAGCTGTTGATCACATTTTCTGCTCAAAACCAGGAAACAGATTTTTATTATTATTATAATAAACTGGTCCCGTCCAGAAGACCTATACAGTTTTTTTCTTTTTGATTTTTTACCTGGATTACTGAGATGCATCAGGACAATAAACTGGTTTCTGTCATCACAGGTGAAAACTGACAAACTATAAAAACTTAGTCTGGAGGGTTTGTCGGCGTTTTAAGACTTGTTGCTTTAGGCCAGAAAACTGACCAATCAGATAAAGGACCTTCAGAAGAGTTTTCTTCTTAGAGATTAGATTTAAACTGGTCTTTATCAGGAATAAAAGTCAAAACTCACAGTTTACAAATTTTACAAATAATTGTTTTATATATCCTGGCCTGTAATTCTGACAAAATCTGGAGGAACTAATGAGCTAACGGCTAGTCTGAGCTGAAGTTGTTTTAAAATCCCACTTCAGCTGAGGTAATAATAGCCGGTCCAATCAGAACCAGGTCAGCTATAAAAACAGAGACGGACTCATTTTTTCACATCTGATACCAGTACGGCAGCAGCAGATGCTACAGCGGGTCACTGTTCATTTCTGAAGTGAAAATGGTTTCTTGATTTTTATGGTAATATTTCTAAATGTTTGTTAAAGTTGGATGTTGAGTGGATTTAAATTTTTGTGATATTTTGAATATATTGATAAAAGAAAGAAAATACAGTGTTCACACTGTGCAGCAGCTCATTCACAGTAGGAAAAAGTAAAAGTTTTATTTACAGCTGTATCATTTATTTTCATGGCCTCTGTAGTTTACCTGTCTGACTGTAAAACACAAGTTGAGTTGTAAAGTATTTTCCTTTGTCTCCACAGTGGAACAAGAGCAGATCCAGAAGAGAACCTTCACCAACTGGGTCAATGTTCAGCTGTCGAAGGTGAGCCTGACATACATCTTTTACAGGTGCTGTGCTCCATCACATCTTTAATTATCTGCAGGAAGCTTTTTAAATCTGACTAAATCAAACAAATCATTAAAAACTAAATGTTTTAGTTATGAATCTTTTCTTCCCTGACATAAATACAATGTTTCCTGKATCTGAGCAGAACCGTTCTCTCAGTTCCACACATTGTTTATTTTTGTTCATGTGATGTAACTGGATGGTACTGGTCCCCTCAGAGTTCTGTGTTCACTGATGAAAACAAATGAAGGTACCAGCAGAACAGACCTGTTTCTAAATACGTTTGTCTGAAGATGTTTTACAGCCAGAGACACTGGAGAGTRGAGGGGCGGAGCTAAATACAGCATTTAGGGTCAAAGATCACAGTACAGACTAACAGTAACAGACTTCACACTTTGACTAACAGGCATGTTTCACTGGAGGCAACCTTCACTTCTATCTTCAGGTTAATGAAACCAGCATTGTCTGAAGGAATACATCTCAGCCTCCACCAGGTTCTCACACTCTGTCAGCCCTCACAGTGTGTGATGAGGATGACTCAACTACTACCACACCACACTAAGTTCGATATCTCAAACTGACAGTGTTAAAGACATTATTGACAAATAGGTGATTAGCTTTGGCAGCCATCTTGAATCAGGTTGGTACAAAGGTTAATTAGGTGTAGACGTCCGTCTAATGATGAGATCATTACAGGATGATGGAAGAAACTAATTGACATCAGTTCCTGTTGYCTTTAAAGACTCATTTGTTGTAAACAAAACAAACATGTTTGTGTTGGGACAGCGGAGGCCACCATGTTTGATTGTAGACCTGTTCAACGACTTCAGAGATGGCTCCAAACTGTTGGACCTGCTGGAGGTGATGAGTGGTCAGCGCCTGGTGAGTAGAACCTCTGCTGAGCTCCAGCAGCAGCTGGGAGGATCCAAACTAAGAGACGTGTGTTTTTCAGAGTCGGGACAGAGGCCAGGGGACGTTTCAGCACAGGAGTAACATCCAGAAGGCTCTCTCCTTCCTCAAAACCAAATCAGTAAAAAAACCCTCTTCTCCTTTTGGAGCTGAGAAAACAAGACAAGATACATTTCATAAAGCAGAATTAACTTCATGTTTAAATACTAACCTTAGTTCTGTATGGAAATGAGCATTATTCAGCTGACTTTGTAAACAGACTTCTRCAGACTTTGTAAAAGTTGTGAAAATGTTTTCTTTGATTTTTCAGGTCAAAATGGTGAACATAAACATTCCTGACATCATGGAGGGGAAACCGTCAATCATCCTGGGTCTCATATGGACCATCATTCTGCAGTACCATGTCAGTTTACTTCACTATTGTTGACTTTGTCTTTTACATCCTATTAGAATCATCACAGCACAAACAAACGTTCAGTTATTGTTTTGGTTCTTTTGTTTTATTTTTTTATTTTTATTTTTTTTTTTATTGTTTTGGTTCTTAATTTAGTGCAGATTCTGCAGGCAGAAGAACTGAAAAAACAGAAAAAAAACAGGTCTGCAGAAGTGTTGAAAAGTACCAGAACTACCTGAAAGGTCATCTTCCATCAGGAACGTAGAGCTAATCAGACAAAACCTGAATCTGGATGGAGAAACTGCTTAAGATGAAGACCATCCGTTCATCCATCTTCTWCCTCTTATCCAGGGTCAGGTCTCGGGGGCAGCAGCCTCAGCAGAGACCCAGACYTCCCTCTCTCCAGACACTTGGACCAGCTCCTCTGGGGGAATCCCAAGGTGTTCCCAGACCAGCTGAGAAACATAGTCCCTCCAGCGTGTCCTGGGTCTTCCTCTGGTCTCCTCCCAGTGGGACGTGTCCAGAACACCTCACCAGGGAGGAGTCCAGGAGGCATCCTAACCAGATGAACCACCTCAACTGGCTCCTCTGGACGTGGAGGAGCAGCGGCTCTACTCTGAGTCCCTCCTGGATGACTGAKCTTCTCAGCCTATCTCTAAGGGAGAGCCCAGACACCCTGCAGAGGAAACTCATTTCAGCTGCTTGKATCTGTGATCTCCTTCTTTCAGTCACTACCCAAAGCTCCTGACCATAGATGAGGGTAGAAACGTAGACCCACTGGTAAACTGAGAGCTTCACCTTCTGGCTCAGCTCTCTTCACCACGACAGACCGGTACAACGCCCACATCACTGCAGACACAGCACCAATCCACCTGTTGATCTCCTGCTCCATTCTTCCCTCATTCATGAACAAGACCCTGAGATACTTAAACTCCTCCACTTGGGGCAGGACCTCCTCCCTGACCCGGAGAAGACACCCTACCCTTTTCATGCTCAAGACCATGGTCTGGGATTTGGAGGCACTGATCCTCATCCCATCTGTGAACCGCTCCAGTGAGAGCTGGAGATCAGGATCTGATGAAGCCAATAGGACCACATCATCCACAAAAAGCAGAGATKTGATCCTAAGGTCACCAAAAAGGATCCCCTCAACACCTMGGCTGCTCCTASAAATTCTGTAGTGTTGGTGGTGAACTGCTTTCCTCCCCTGAGACACCRGATGGTGGACCAGAATYRCCTCGAAGCCGTACGGAAGTCTTTTTCCATGGCCTCTCTGAACTCYTCCTACGCTCAAGTTTTTGCCTCAGCGACCACCCRAGCTGCAATCCTCTTGGACTGCTGATAYCTATCGGCTGCTTCCAGAGTCCCACAGGCCAAAAAGTCCTGATAGGACTCCTTCTTCAGCCTGACAGCATCCYTCACCKCCGGTGTCCACCAGCGGGTTCGAGGGTTGCTGCCACAACAGGCACCGACAACCTTACAACCACAGCTCAGGTAAGTCATCTCGACAATGGAGGTATGGAACATGGYCCACTGAGACTCAATGTCCCCCACYTCCCCYGGAACRTGTTCTAASTTCTCCCGGAGGTGTGAGATGAAGCTCCGTCTGAAGGGAGATTCTGACAGATGTTCCCAGCAGACCCTCACTATACGTTTGGGTCTGCCAGGTCTGACCATCATCCTCCCCMRCCAWYRGAKCCAACTCACCACCAGGTAGTGGACAGGTGACAGCTCCGCCCCTCTCTTCACCTGAGTGTCCAAAACATGCAGCCGCAGATCAGATGAAACAACAACAAAGTCAATCATYGARCTKWRGCCTAGGGTGTCCTGGTGCCACATATGGACAGCCTAATGTTTGAACATGGTGTTTGTTATGGACAATCCATGAAGATGAAGACTTTCTGTGGAAATGAGCAGAATTTGACATAAAGACTGTTTAAACTTGTTGCATTGTGACATCATCACTCTGAGTTGACAAAAATCCTCAAGCTTAATCTGTGAGCATGTGTAAGTTCTGAAAACAGCAGGTCAGAAATACAAAGTCCATGTTGATCCAGGTGTTTCCAGCTGTTTACTGTAGTTTGTTGACCCAAGACACCAGTCAGATGAGTCCTGGTCTTTTGTCTCTCAGATCGAGGAGCTGGCCAGCTGCCTGTCCTTTGACTCCCGTCAATCGTCGGTGGAGTCTTTGGCCAGTCTGGACTCCCGCTCCAGTCGCTCGACAAGCAGCAGTCCAGTTCCACGCAGAGGCTCACCTCTTCATCAACGCTTCAAGGTTTCTGCCAAGAAGGCTCTGCTGCTGTGGGTGCGAGACCAGTGCCAAATGTAAGTCCTTCATGTTCGGACCACCTGTAGGAGGTGACTACATGACTTCTATAGGATTAGAGGGTGTGGATGAATTTTATTGTCTGTTATGATAGTAGAGATAGAACAAGAAGCATAGAACTAGAACCCTTCCAGACCTGTATTGTGAATGTGTTTTGTGAACACAACAACCACCGTCCTGGACTTGATTTCAACTCTGGGTTCTATTGAAGCAAGTTCTGTGAACGGTTTGTTTCCTCAGAGCCGGCTGTTCAATAAATGTCAAAGACTTTAAGGTGAGCTGGAGGAGTGGCGTGCTGTTCCTCGCCATCCTGAACGCTTTGCGACCCGACCTGGTGGATCTGTCCAAAGCCAGAACCAGGAGCAACAAGCAGAACCTGGAGGAAGCGTTCCACATTGCAGAGAAGGAGCTCAAGATCCCCAGACTGCTGGACCCGGATGGTGAGGAACTTTCTGAAAGTTTTTCTTCTGATCTTTTCTTATCAGAAACTTGTTTTGTTGTATTTTGACAGTTTTGAAAAACCTTAAAGATCTACAGAAACAATACTTGTTAAAACAGAACAAAGCAGCATTCATCACCCTGCAACATTTAGAAACGTTAGCCTTCAGAGTCTGTGTTGGGATGACTCACAGCTACTACCACATCACATTTAAACTCCATTGGAAATGTTTTCAGGTAAAACTTATAATAAAGTATTATATAAGAGACTACTGGATGGATCTATTAGATGTTATTCAGGCTTCTGATCCAGGACAGGATGTTTATGATTCTTTTGGACACTTTGTAGCTAATCCCTTTGAAATGTTTGGTTCTACAGACACACCTCAAAAACTGATTTAGTTCTTTTCTGAAAGATTTACTTGTTCAGGTTCAGTTTGATGTGTGGCTGAATAAATATGTGGATAAAAGCTGTGTCTGAGAAGATCTCAGTGAGCCTGAGGGACTGTYGAGTGACGACCAAACAGTCTGCTGATCCAAGCCAAACAAAAGCCTCGACTGTTTCATCGGTTCTGCCCGATGTTTTTAACAGCCTTCGTTTTCTGGGTTCCAGTCAGTTCTGCCTGGTGGACCCTCAGAAGAACCCTCATGTCCAGGATCTCAGCTTTGTTTGGTCTTTGGTTCTTTGAATAATAATGGAGGATTGTCATGTGGATGCAGATGTGGACGTTCGAGACCCCGATGAGAAGTCCATCATGACCTACGTGGCTCAGTTCCTGCAGTACTCCAGAGACCTGCCAGTCCAGGAGGAGATGCAGGTTTGAACTTTTCTGTTTCATTCAGTCCTGATGAAGAAGGTTCTTCTAAACGAGACCATGTTCTGATGAAAAAACAAAAAAAAACATCCCCTCTTCGCTGCATTTCATTAATAACCTCTCTGCTCTGTTTACAATTTTCTTCTAAGTTTCTTTGGTTCGTTCCAGTTCTGCTTCTTTCTCCCCCCCTCCCCCCCAGACCCAGTTTCTGACTCCTCCTACAAGCCCCTCACCTGTCCGTCTACCTGTTCACTACACTCCTGCTGTTTCTGCTTCACCTCTGCGACAGGTACACTAAACTACCACACACACACACACACACACACACACACACACACACACACACACACACTACCAACACAGGGGAGTTGAACAGAGTCAAAGTGCTACAGCTAGCTGCTGCTGCCTTTATTTATTTGACTTACACGGCACAAATTTACAGCAAAGCTCATCTCAGGTCACTGTCCAAAGAAAACCAAGTCTAAATCCTAAACCTGATCCAGTTTCTGTCAGCAAACATCCAGAACTTCATGAAGGTCCGGTTAGTAACGGTCACAGAAACCAGCTGATTGAGTCCAATGGGTCGGGTCCTCCTGTTAYCCAAAACGGTTCAGTTCAGGTGTGTGTGTTGAGCAGCAGGTTCTGCTGGTAGAACCAGATCCAGAAACCAGCTGTACATCTGTCGGACCAGAACAAGCTGTTCACAGTTGGTTCTGCTTCATGTAAAATATGGTTCTGTTCTGCTTTTCTTTTAAAGTCTGAAGATATTTCAACTTGTGCTTCAGGTTTTATTTTCACCTCCAGAATAAAATATTGAGTTTTTCTGTTTGGTTTTGTTTGGATTAGGAACCAGTCCAGAATAAACCCTAAAATAAAATCTGTATTTACTGTAAGTTTGCTGTGTTCAGACGACAGGTGATGGGAAAGTGAAGGAGGTCACCTGCTGGCTCCGGCAGGCCTACGATGAGCTGCTGGAAGGATGGGACTCAACAGAAGGAGAAAGTTACTCAGAGAGATATCACGTAGGTTTCATTACCTGTGCTCACCTGTCAGAGGAAATGTGCTGCAGCTTTCTTCAAACATTTAGCAGAATTGTCAGTAAAACAAACTTTCACTTGAAGTTTAAAGTTTGGGTTGGTACTGGATGTGGTGTTTCTCCTCTCCAGGTGTTTCAGACGTTTCTGGTGTCCTTTAATGAACAGCGCCGTCCCATCATGCCTTTACTGACCGCCATGAGACGAGCGCCAAAGCTCAGCCAGGAGCAACGAGCTCTCAGAGAGGCCTGGGACTCCATCAACCAAAAGGTTCTGCTACCCCCCTGAGGACAGCTTAAACCTGAGCTCCACCCACATTCACACAGCCAGGACTGGTACCAGTTGAAATCAGAACAGGTCGTTTACAGGGTCAGGTGTGTCACAGGTAACAAGAAGGATGAGAGAGGGAGAGACTCACCTGTATCACACCTGTACCTCATTCAGTCACATCAGTATGTAATTTATTTAATGTGCAAAGAAAAGAAAAGTCATTTTTCAGCACATGTGACCTTTTTTCTTTGAATGTTGTAAAATGGTCAGATWGGGACGATTCGGTCAGCAGCTGACTGACTTCAGGTTATTCTGTATTTTTATTCAGAGCTTCTGTAACTTTTGATGTTAGTGTTTGGTTTTTATCTGAGGCATGAAAACAACTTATAACTAAAAGCASTCAGAGAGCRCAAACCTCTGCCAAGGTCAATTCCCCCAATCCTGCCATAGTGAGGAATCCTTCAAAATCTTCCTGGATCCAGATCGTGATCCGGATCTTCACCAAAATTAAACGAYRTGCTYCTTTGACCAATACCCACCTGTGGTAAATATTTCATGAAAATCTGTCCGTAAGTTATTGAATAATTTTTCCACAGACAGACAGACGCGACTGAAAACACAACCTCCTTGGCAAAGATAAAAACCAAGTTTAATTAAAGGAAAATGACAGAATATAAAATTTACAGTCAAAGTCAGAGCAGCTGTCAGCAAACAGACAGATTTAATCAAAATAAATAGATTTTCACTAGATGTTGCTGACCTTTGACCTTATGTTTCAATTCAGTTTAATTCAGTTTATTTATATATCTCCAAGTCCCAACAYACGTTGTCTCAGGACACTGTASATAAAAAGAACAATGTAAAGAAGAAAGCAGCAGATTGTGTTGAATCACTTCATCACAGTCTCCCATCCTGAGCAAACGGTGGAGAGGAAAAACTCCCTGCTAATCAGGAAGAAACCTCCAGCAGAACCAGGCTCAGGACAGGAGACCATCTGCCTCGACCGGCTGCTTGGAGGACAGGAAAGAGACACAGACAAACACAGAAGAACTGGTCCAGGACTGGTCCAGGACAGGAGACCATCTGACCTTATGTAGAATCAGACTTGGACAGTTGGATGCAGCCAGCATGTTTTCTGTCTGTTTGATCCTCAGAGACACAAATGTCCAGACTTTCASTGGAACATGATGTTTTCTTTTCTTTGGATTCAGCTTCATGAATACAGAATAGAGCTGGACATGAGCCTCCCACCCCCGCTGGACCTGGTGGCCCGCTGGTTGTTGAGGACAGAGGGGGCTCTGTCTGAGGAACAGGGGGACCCTCAGGACCACGGCAGTGCTGCTGATGAAGCCCGGGAGAAACAGGAGCTGCTSAGAGTAAGACGAGCTTCATGATGGCAGTTTGTACACGTCAGAGTAAACTCTGAGCAGCAGATGGCTCCAGACTGACATTAAATGTAGAGTTTGACAGCAGATTTCAGCGTGTGTGTGAACTTCCTGTCTGCTGTTTCAGGTTTGTTTGGAGGAGATGCCACAGCACTTCAGAACGTTCCAGTCCTTCAGAAACCTGGACGAATATGGAAACCTGATGGTTCCTGCAGACAAGATGGATGAGATGAAGAGGAGGTAACCCCCAGATGTGTGTGTGTGTGTGTGTGTGTGTGTGTGTGTGTGCACGCACACACATTCTACAGACTCTGGATGGAGTATTTTAATAAAGAGGTCTTGATAGGACCAGGTCCTGGACCTTCAAGCTGTCCAGACCCCTGAGGAACATCAACAGGTTTCAATGAACAAGTCTGAGATGACTTCATGTCAACAACCTTCCTCCCTCTTTTGTTCTCATGAATTCACCAGAACAGTCCCTGAAGAAGCTGGACTCAGGGTTGTTTTGCACTTTGTTGGCTGTTGGCAGCACGGTGGATCAGTGGTTAGCACTGACGCCCCACAGCAAGAAGGTCCTGGGTTCGATCCCGGTTCAGACCTGGGTCTTTCTGTGCAGAGTTTGCATGTTSTCCTCGTGCTTGATGGGTTTTCTCCGGTTCTCCAGTTGCCCTCCAACACAAAAACCTGTACACCAGGTTGCCTTCAGGCCCAGGCCGCCCAAGAAAAACAGATCTGTGATCTCAGTGGGRTTTGCCTGGATGAACAATGATGAAATAAAAAAAATCACAAATTATTTTATTGCTGATTGTGGATATCATGTTCACCATGGTCCTTTATCTGCAGCTGCTGGTCCTCTGTTTGTCCACAGTTGGTTGTAAATGTATGTGAGGACAGCTTCCCTCTGAAAGGGACTGAAAGGGAAAGATGCTCGGTGAAGTGAAACTGCTGGAAGAGGAAGAGACCGAGTTTACTGTCATTGCTTTTGATAATCGTGTTTTTTACCAGCTAGTCACCCCTGAAATCCTTCAAAAGCCTTTCAATATTTCTTTTTCTTTAAGTGTGTCAAACTAAAGGTAAGAACTGGAGGAAGTTGTCTGACTCCCTAGTTTCAAAATAAAAGCCTCTGGTAGTGTCTGGAAATGTTTAAAGGCAGAAACCTCACTGGTGGAATAAAGAACCTCTGATGTTTCTGAGATGAGATGAATCTATGATCATACTTGTAAAAGGTGCTGCTGACTTGTCAGGTCCCTCCTAACAAAGAGATTGTGGATCTGAAMCAGGTTATCTGGTTAAATAAAGCTYATAATAATAATTCTCTAGTTTTTTAGGTTTGATGTGATGTAACCCTTTCTTCTCCAGATTTACTGGAGTCAGAGTCACTGCCAAGTACCACGGCATCAAGCTGGAGTACCGGGAGCACCACCACACAGTTCTGGACCTGCTGGGTCAGATCAAGGCCAAGCTCCGGAYCTGGAAGAGACCGTATATTTCTCCAGAAGCTGTCAGAGTGTTGCTGCAGGAATGGAATGTAAGAACCAGTGTCCCTCCTTCACCTCCAGAGTTTTCTGTTTCTCTGTAAACTTCTTCTCAGAAAAGAACTGAAACATTTTCCTCTGACAGAAGAGACTCCAGTTGAAGTCTGTMCTGGATGAGAGTGTAAACACACTTTTTAGTGTTTTTATGATTTATTTGCAACCACAGGAGCTGGTGAACAAACAGGAGCTTCCTTCTTTGTTGGAAGCTGCTCTTGGGAAGCTGAAGCAGATCTCTGAGAAATATTCCAGTAAATCTGCCCTCGGTGAGTTATCTGACTCTAACCGTCCAACTCTTCAGTCAACAAGTGGACGACTAACCTGAGGTGTGTTTGTTCATCAGCTGCAGATTACCACAGTGTCAGTCAGCAGGTGAAGCAGCTCGAGGACAACACTCTGCTGCTTCTGGAGGAAGTGACGTCAACAAAGAGCATGATGGGTCGGGTTCTGTCTRCCTGGGAATCGTACAGTGACTGCATGAGCTCCATTCAGGCTTGGCTTCAGCAGGGATCAGCAACACACAGCAGAGGAAACGCAACAACGGTACCATCAGCATGGAAAGAGACATTTCTGTTCATCCAGTGGAGAGAAGCTAAAACTGGAGAAATATGATCTCT